AAGCACCAAATGATTTTTCTGTTGTTTTTGCTTCACACAATCATAAAAACATTTTCTCCAACATGGTAGTGAAAGCAATTGACACCTCTTGGATTTGGTGACTTTTTGGTTATTAATGCTAGTTGACTTTCACTAATTACATGCTATTTGGAATTAGTGACTTTGACTAAGGAAATTGTTATGAGCTTCTCTAGCCATTTCAACAATTAATAAAAGTTTAGGTAATCTCAAGCTCCTTGGATTACTATAGCCAAATTAATGATTTAAATCAAAATATTGCACCATTGGATTCTAATGATATGTTCATCAAAAGTCAAAGTGAGGAAACTGTAAGTCAACCATGTCTCCCTTATTGATTTTACATCAAACCCTTATTTTTGTTGAAATTGACCATTTAAATCATAGTTAATTCTAGTTTGTTTCAAGTATTTCAAAACACCAAAACCCCCCACTTTATTTTTATTGTTATTTTACAAGTATTTTTACAAAGAGATTTTTCATAGAGTTATAAATTGAACCAATCTCCGTCGATTCGACCCCTTTACCACTATACACTATTTTAGTGTGTAATATTTAGGGTTATTATTTTTGTTGGCCTCGATAACCACCAGGCATACATCAATTTACGTGGTGCATACCCTTGCATGCCTTGAAATCCTTATAAGTTCTTAATGGATTAAGCACCTAAGCTCAAACTTCAAATCCATGACTCGAAAGTACTCCTAAATCATAAAGTCTCAAACTTTAACACTTTATACGTCCAAAGAGGGATTAATAAATGGTCATAATCCATTAAGACCTCCTATTAGCAACATGAAGCCAACCCAGCCAAAGGGGCCTCATTTTTATAACTTAGAACCTTTCTTAGGGTCTGAAAGGACAACTCACAACGTCCAAATCAAAGCATGCATAACAATGGGACCTTTGGGACAAGAAGAACACCAAAAAGCTACTAAAACAATATCTAAACAATCTAAGCATAAAGGTAGAAGCTTTATACCTCATAAAGCTCCTAAAGAAGATGATAATCCCAAATCTACAAGCCTGTTTCCTTCATTGACTCCTTAGATGTACTAACTTCTCCTTCAACCATACAAGAAACACACTCTTAACTCATACACACTATAGGAGTTAGGGTTTGCCAAAAACGATCCCAAAACTTGGAGGCTGAAAAGACGGTGGAAAAAGGGCCATAATGATGCTTAAATACTCCAGAAACCCTAAAAGTTAGGGTTTCACCCAGCCACTAGTGTACCCTGCGTACATATGAATACACTCAACGTACTAGGCGCGCCCTAGTACGCTTAGCGTACTCACATGTACGCCATGTATGCCTAACGTACAACTCCTACTCCAAAAATTACCATTTTGCCACTAGGGCTTCCCATGGCCACTAATTTCTAATCTAAGGACTAGAAATGACACAATTACAACCCAAGGAATGAATTTAAAATTACTTGAAGATAGGATGTTACACCTTTGACCAATTTTGTCCTAATGGGTGTTTTGAAGCAATCTGATTTGGAAAATGTGGGCTTAGGATAAGGCCCATATGGGATTGGGCCTAATTTGGAAAATTAGGCCATTAGTGGGGTTTTATGGATTTTGTGGGTTTGGATCCTGTTGGTTTTTGGCTTGGGCCTTAGTTATGAATCTTACTGGGTTAGGCGTAAATTGGTTATTTTACTCCAAGTATGGATTTTGGATCATGGTTTGGAACCCAACTGCTAATTGCGTGATATTTTGGTATTGTTAACTCGAGGAGTTGTCATGGCAACAGTTAGGGATTTCTTCCAGTGAGTTTCAACATTTGAGGCGAGTTTCCTTACTGGGTTTAACGGGTCGATGGCACCAAGGTCGACCCATGTTCATATTATATTGTTAGTATGCTAGTTGTCTTCGTAACTTTTTCGTGTGTTGTGTTTATATGTTTTCTAGGTTAAGGCCCGATGTTGGGCGGGGCCCGAGGGATATTTGTATGCTATGTATCTCTGTGAATATTGCATGTGTATGTGTTTATTTTGACATTGTTATTGTATGTTAGGCGGGGCCCGTTTTACCGAGCTCAACTTGATGTCGAGCGGGACTCGATGCTGGACGGGGTCCGAAGCCAGGCAGGGATCGATGACGGGGAGGGGGGACTATATATGTTTATTGTATGACTCTTGTATGATATGTGATATTTGGGGAACTCACTAAGCTTTGTGCTTACGGTTTTCAGTTTATGTTTAAGGTCCTCCAATTTTCAAATGAAAAGGGGCTCGAGACGATTGCAGTGCATACACTCATGTTTTTCGCAATATATTATCTTCGGGATTGAACTATGATAATAGTTTTATTTAAATGCTTTTCAATGTTTGGACAAAGTTACAATAGTATTTTGCATATAATAAAAATGAAAATTTTAACCTTGATTTTTGAGATGTTACAAGAACAATTATAATTAGGTTTTGAGTTTTATTTTCCTAATACAATCAAAGAGGTATTTTGATTTCGTTGTTGTTCGCTTTAAAAACAAGTAGTGAAACAACATATACTAAAGAACAAAAACAATAAAAAAAATAGAATGAAACTTACAAACACTGATAGATAATCAGAGGTAAGAACACAAAAAATCAAAAAACTAAACAAAAGTTTGAAAATAAATGTTGAATTAGCAACACTTTCACATATTACACATAATTAGAGATAAGAATATTCCGGAATCAAAAATCAAGAAAGAACTTTAGAAATTGAAATAATAAATCAATAATTGGAAACCCTTTAATCTGATTTTGTAGATAACGTTTAGGATTGCCTGAAAATCGAACATCAGAAATCATTTAATATGTTTATTAGAAATCCACTTCAGTGTCACATTGATTATCAGAAATAGAACTTCAGAGAATTAGATATTAGAAATCGAACTTGACATTCTCCTTATCGTTTTTGCTTATTGAGAATTAAGAAGATGTTCTTTATTATTTTTTCTTCTTGAGAATTGAGAAGACGCTTTGGGATAAAAAAATTGGGTTAAGAACGGGGATATTCTCAAAGAACGTTGGACCAAATAAGGGAGACGCACAAAAAAAAATGTAAAATATAAAATATATATGCTTTGTTCTTCTTGAGAAAAACTCTTTGGGATGATGTAAAAAATAAAATTACACAATGGTTTAAAAGGCTCGAACGCGTGCCACTTTTTGTGAATTTTACTGCATGCGCGACTTAACCATTTCAACTCCAAATGCTTTTGTTTCTATTTTGCATCTTTATATTAATATTATCGAAAACTATATATGCACACACACACATACACTAATCGTGACTTTCGAGGGCCCGAGGTTTGGCGAGGCCTGGGGCAGTCGACCAACTTGCCTTGCCCCTAGGGCCGACCATGGTAACCCATCCATGTTGTTGCTTTTTTCCCTAATCGGCCTTGTATCGACCCATTCCTCGCCGCCCATGTTCTAGTTCTATCAACCTTCACCCACTCAACAATAATGGTAGACATATCTTTTATATCCATACAGAGAGTAAATTTCACATAAGTAATAGTGTTGGTAGAGCGGTGGAGTACGCTGGCGGTGACAATTGGTAGGGTTGTGACGACAATCATGATTGTTGATTGTGGTGAGTAGGCATCCATCTCAGTGCCACTTAAGCAATGATTACGTATCCACCTATTTTTTTTTTTTTTGGCAATGACCATTTTAGCCGGTCACTTTTTGCACAAGAAAAAAATAAATATGTGAAAACAAACGTGATGATTTTAAAGTTTATTAAAATAATATGATATTTTCCTTTTATATTATATATCTTTGTGATTACGAGTTTCATCGTACCAAAAAGCCATCGACACATGTAATATATATATATATATATATATATATATATATATATATATATATATATATATATATATATATATATATATATATATATATATATATATATATGAGAAAAATAAATAGCACTGAAATACTATGGAAATTTGGAAAAGAAGATATTTCTTGAAAAGGTAAAAACCAAACTCCCAATCATCTGTATTTATGGGTAGTTTTTGCTTTTTATCGTAAAAGATAGGGGCTATTACTGAAATAATGTTAAAAAGACATTAGATCACAGGGTAAATTTAAAACGGCTACTTTTTAATTTTTGTTGCTTTTTGGATGCAGGATTTTGGATTTTAGCGAATCTGACTTTATAGCATTTCCTAGTTTCCAAAAATGCCCATGTCTCTTTCTGTTTTTACGCTCATATTAATTAACAATATGACGAAACCACCCTTGTAAAGCAAAACCACCGCAATAGCATCTCAACCGCAACCCAGTTTAACACAAAATGGCCCACTAAATTGATTATTATGCCATTTTAGGAAAATTATTTTACGAAACACATAGTTATTTTAAGACAGGATACTGCTGTATATTCGTTATAAACAAAACTTGAGTAACATGATATATATCGTCTTTTATAGATTTGGTTATAGCAATTTAGATATCAAATAACTTCCATATCTCTAACCAAATCTTTTAAAATTTAATCAAATGAAATATCAAAGATAATGTATATTTATAACATATTATTTAGATATCTTAGCTATTTTAAGGGTAGACATACTTTTTTTTTATTCAGTTTTAAAGCTGTTTTTTTATTTTTAAATTTTTTAATATGTTGACAAACCTTAACCATTTATCAATATGGCTTAGTAAAAATATTTGATAACCAAAGTCAATTGAAACATCGTTCAAATAAGCTGCAACCAAAAATCAAATTGAAAAAAGAATTTGTATATTTTTATAGAAATAGGAAATTATATTACGTTTGGGAAGCGTAATAATGATGAAATACGTAAATGTTAGTTGGTTTAAATGGAAAATACGTAAATGCTAGAGGCACAACGGGTCCAAAATATCCTCAATGGCACATATGTAATTTGTTCGAAAAACAAAGCCCATTGTCTTAGCTCACCAACAGTAAACTCCAGATTAAATATTTTATTTTTATTTTTGGCTCCATTTCTCTCTCTAGAGCGGTGCTTTCTTTCTTTCTAAGTAGCTTAAAGTTGCAGTACACACTCCCATCCCACCACCACCGTCTCTCTAATCTCACCCTTTTCTCTCTCTCCTAGGGTTTGCTACATTCGCTGAATCAAACCACAAGTAGACGAATGTAACTAGAAAACATCATTTATTTGTGTTAATCTCTTCGTATTTTGCCGTTTTTGGGTATTTGTAAGTTTCTTTTTTAAAAAATAAAAAATAAATAATTAAATGTGTGAACTTTAAAGTTCTCAGCTTTTTGTTTGTTGATCTTGAAGTGGGTTTGAAGTTTAATGTTGGAGCACGGTTGCTGTATTTGAGTTGGTGGTTTGAGAGTGAAGAAAAATGACGTCGAGAGGTGGAGGCAGTGGTCCGTCGGATCAACCGCCGCCGCCGCAGCGGCGGATCATGCGGACACAGACAGCAGGGAATCTCGGAGAGTCGATATTTGATAGTGAGGTGGTTCCCTCGTCGTTGGTCGAGATTGCTCCTATTCTTCGTGTGGCTAATGAAGTCGAGCCTAGTAACCCCAGGGTTGCTTATCTTTGTAAGTTCTGAACCAGTCCAGACACAATTGTGTAAAAACTGTCAACAATGCTATACCTGTAGTTAAGTTTACGTTGAGCTTGATTAGTAGTAGCGGCGTTTACTGTGTTTTTACTTCAATTTTGTGACCATATGAAAATTCGGAAGGGGAATTTGCTTAGAAAAACTTCGCACTCCCCTCCCTAATCTCGTCCTAGCCTCTTATAATTCTTTTTGCACCAGGGTCGTCTTTTATGTTCTCTCTATGTTCTTTTAATTGAGTTGAACCGCCAAGTATTGTCTAGCTCTTGATAGTTTTATGCCTAATCTGATGGGTATTTGATCAATGTGGGTTAACTGTAGTGGTAATGAGTAAGAAAAACAGTTTATTTTAACTTAAAAAGTATATCTTTTTTGTGAATCTGGGAAATTATAGTCTTTTAGAGAACTGATGCCATAGTCATGGTTCTTCTGCAGGTCGATTTTATGCATTTGAGAAAGCTCATAGGTTGGATCCCACTTCTAGTGGACGTGGTGTTCGTCAATTCAAAACTGCCCTTCTTCAGAGGCTTGAAAGGGTAAGTACTATCTAATGGTGTTTTTGGGTTATTGGGAAACAACTTCACTGATGCAATGATGGCCTCAAGTTCCTCTTTCTGTTTGTCATTTCAATCAATGAAGAATCCTATTTCATCTTGATCAGGAAAACGATCCAACTTTAATCGGGAGAATGAAGAAAAGTGATGCACGTGAAATGCAGAGTTTTTACAGACATTACTACTCAAAGTACATTCAAGCTTTGCAAAGTGCTGCTGATAAGGCAGACCGGTGAGTTTTTATAAGATGCCAAGTGGCTGTAAGCCTGTAACTGTAAGTATCACATATTTTTCTTCTTTTTCTGTACTTAAAGTTCATATTGTTGTTCAGTGCTCAGCTTACCAAAGCATACCAAACTGCTAATGTTCTCTTTGAGGTTTTAAAAGCTGTGAATCAGACACAATCAGTGGAAGTTGATCGTGAGGTGTGTACAAATGAAAATTTCATACTTGTTTCTTGATGAATCTTTTCCGACATTATTGTGTCTTTGTTTTCTTTTACTTTCTTGATTTTTATACCCTCTTTCATGAACTGCTTCACAGATTCTGGAAACACATGATAAAGTTGCACAGAAGACAGAGATCTATCTCCCCTACAATATTCTACCTCTTGATCCCGATAGTGCCAATCAGGCTATTATGATATTCCCAGAGGTGAATTTACAATTACAACTTCCATCCGTTTTTTTTTTCTTCTGTATCATTCTCAATAGTTTTCTTATAAAGCTGCTTACTTTGTTTACAGATTCAAGCTGCTGTTGTTGCTCTTCGTAACACAAGGGGTCTTCCATGGCCTAGGGAATACAAGAAGAAAAATGAAGAGGACATTCTAGATTGGCTTCAAGCTATGTTTGGGTTCCAGAAAGATAATGTGGCAAATCAACGGGAGCATCTAATTTTATTGCTTGCAAATGTTCATATTCGCCAAATTCCAAAACCTGATCAGCAGCCAAAGTTGGATGAACGTGCATTGAATGAAGTGATGAAGAAGCTTTTCAAGAACTACAAGAAATGGTGCAAGTATTTGGACAGAAAGAGTAGTCTTTGGTTGCCTACAATACAACAAGAAGTTCAACAGCGAAAATTGTTATACATGGGCTTATATCTTCTTATATGGGGAGAGGCTGCAAATTTGAGATTCATGCCTGAGTGCCTCTGCTACATCTATCATCATGTATGCTAATGCTTTCATTAGGAACCTTTTAATTTGCTTTTGGGACAATTTCCATGAATTGACACTATATAATGTTTTGTAGATGGCTTTTGAACTATATGGAATGCTAGCTGGTAATGTCAGTCCAATGACTGGTGAGAATGTGAAACCAGCTTATGGAGGAGATGAAGAAGCTTTCTTGACAAAAGTGGTTTCTCCTATTTATGATGTCATAGCACAGGTATTAATTAAAAACACTCAGTTTGCCTCATTTTTTTTTCTTGTAGTGTTTGTTGTTATCTCATGGGTGCTGTTCCACAGGAAGCTGCCTGGAGCAAAGTAGGGAAATCTAAACATTCCCAGTGGAGAAACTATGATGATCTAAACGAATATTTCTGGTATGATTTCATAGATTTAATATATATTAAGATATTGTTGGTATTATGTTTTATAATCAGTTTATTACTGAAAAACTTTTTGAGCTTTTCAGGTCAGTAGATTGTTTCCGGTTAGGGTGGCCAATGCGTGCTGATTCTGATTTTTTTTGTGGGAACATGAAGTCCAATGAGTCTGATAAAAATGGGGTAAGTTATATCAATAATGCTCTTTTCATATCTTTGGATGATTATGACATAAATGTTAAATGATTGTGACAATTCAGGATGGAAAATCATCTGGAGGTCGAAGGGCTGCTAAAGTGAATTTTGTTGAGATACGATCATATTGGCATGTTTTTAGAAGCTTTGATAGAATGTGGAGTTTCTTTATATTATGCTTACAGGTAACTTCTATTGTAATTACAGTTGTTTTTAGTTATTATTGTTCATATCAAGATTGATAACAGTTTGTTCCTTTTGAAGGCTATGATTATTGTTGCTTGGAATGGCGATGGAAACCCAACCAAAATATTTGATTCTGATGTTTTTAAGAAAGTATTGAGTGTCTTTATAACTGCTTCAATATTGAAACTTGGTCAAGGTATGCAAGTGTGCAAATATAACATACAACAACTATATGTGATGTTATAGAGTGATTAAACTTTTTATTTTTTGCAGCTGTTCTTGATGTGGTGCTAAATTGGAAGGCAAGACAAGCAATGCCCTTCTATGTGAAGCTAAGATATGTTTTGAAGGTTGTAACAGCTGCTGCATGGGTTATAGTCTTACCTGTTACTTATGCTTATACATCAAAAGATCCAGAAGGATTGGCTCAGACCATTAAAGGGTGGTTTGGGAACAGCTCAGGTTCCCCATCATTGTTCATTTTGGCTGTTGTTGCCTACTTGTCACCCAACATGCTTGCTGCTGTGTTGTTTTTATTCCCCTTTATAAGGCGTTACCTTGAGAGTTCAGACTACAGAATTGTCATGCTCATGATGTGGTGGTCTCAGCCTCGGCTTTATGTTGGAAGGGGAATGCATGAGAGCACATTTTCTCTTTTCAAGTAAGATTTTAGAAAACTACATAATTAGTTATAAGAGACACAAAGCGGTATACATGATATAATGGCTAATTGGCTATTGATTCAAAATCTCAGGTACACAACGTTTTGGATTCTGCTCATTATCACGAAGCTGGCATTCAGTTACTATTTAGAGGTTCTGTTCTCTCCTTGTATTAATTATGATCTTGATGCGATATTTGAAAACATGTTGTCTTTTGTAAGCATTGAAAGCTATAAACTATTGTTGCAGATACAACCACTTGTGAGTCCTACAAAAGCTATCATGAGTGTTCATATCAATACTTACGCTTGGCATGAGTTCTTCCCCCAGGGTAACAATGAATGATGATTTCAAAATTTCAATTACGTTTTCCCTTTTTCTTTTCTGAAACCGACTTATGTGGATTTTGCAGCAAGGAACAATATTGGTGTGGTGGTTGCACTTTGGGCTCCAATCATTCTTGTAGGATTACATCTCTTCCTTTAGTTGTACTTGTTCATTGGAAGATATCATTTAGTTAACACTTGGAATGTATACAGGTGTATTTTATGGATACCCAAATCTGGTATGCTATATTCTCTACATTATTTGGAGGTGTCTATGGTGCATTCCGTCGTCTTGGAGAGGTTTGTCAAACTTTTTGTATCTCTATTTGAAAAAGACATTTTCGTCCTTTATGTAATGATCTTAATAAGAATATACTGTTTGCAGATTCGAACTTTAGGAATGTTGAGATCACGTTTTGAGTCGTTACCTGGTGCGTTTAATGGCTGTTTAATTCCACCTGAGAAAAGTGATACAGTGAAAAAGAAAGGACTTAAAGCTACTTTATCTCGTAATTACGAAGCAGTAAGTTTATATATCATCTGTTTTAATTGATGGATTCTGTTAGTTAGTTGTAAGTTAAGAGTTAAGAGTATGATGTTGTTGTTGTTATTGGGATGCAGATCTCCTCCCATAAAGGGAAAGAAGCTGCAAGATTTGCTCAGTTATGGAACAAAATCATCACAAGTTTCAGAGAGGAAGATCTTATCAATGACAGGGAGATGAACCTCTTGCTTGTTCCATATTGGGCAGACCGAGAGTTGGATCTAATACAGTGGCCTCCTTTTCTGTTAGCTAGCATGGTATATTACTATGTTCCATGTTTCTAACTAATACACAATCATTAACTCTTAATTTTTTTTTTTTATGGGAAATGGGAATTATCTATTGTTTTTCCAATTACTATATAGATCCCTATCGCATTGGATATGGCAAAAGACAGCAATGGGAAAGATCGTGAGCTGAAGAAGAGAATTGAGAATGATAATTACATGTCTTGTGCTGTTCGTGAGTGCTATGCTTCTTTCCGCAATATCATTAAGTTTTTGGTTCGTGGAAGACGTGAGCAGAAGTAAGTTGTGTTTGATTTTGTCATATTCTGTTTTTCTTTTCCATTTAGCATAAAATTGGTTTTTCTTTTCAGGGTTATCAATGATATATTTGAGGAAGTTGACAAACATATTGATGAAGGAGATATAGTGAGAGAATTCAAAATGAGTGCTCTACCCATCCTCTATGACCACGTTGTCAAGCTTATCAATTACTTGGTATATATATGATTTTTTTGACATAACTTTTTATGATGTTTGAAGTAGCTATAACACCACAATGCGGGGTTTGGTTTGGTTGGTATTCACAGTTAACAAATAAGCAAGAGGACCGGGATCAAGTTGTAATCCTTTTCCAGGATATGCATGAAGTTGTGACAAGAGACATAATGGAAGATCAGTTTCCTAAGTAAAAATCCTTTCTCTTTCTTTCACCTTTTATTAATTAATTCTTATATTGTGTCTTATATCTATCCTTTTTTTGGTTTGGTATATAGTTTGGATGGACCAGGTTATGATGCGGATGAACAGTACCAGTTATTTGCACCTGCAGGAGCAATCATGTTCCCAGCTCCAGAATCAGAAGCTTGGAAGGAGAAAGTAATTCTAACTCCTAACTCCTAACAACAAATTGATTTTTTAAAATTTGAGGTCTTTATAATGGATTCTTGATGTCTATTTTGCAGATCAATAGGTTGTACTTATTGCTTACAGTGAAGGAGTCTGCCATGGATGTGCCATCAAACTTGGAAGCTAGAAGACGAATATCCTTCTTCTCCAATTCATTGTTTATGGACATGCCATCAGCACCCAAAGTTCGCAATATGCTTTCCTTCTCGTAAGTCTTGTGTGAAAACGTGAAGTTGTTATTTTTCAACAGAAGTTTATATCATATAAGATGATAATATGTTTGTTTTTTTTGTGTAGTGTCCTCACTCCTTATTACACGGAGGAGGTTCTGTTTTCATTGCATGATTTAGAAGTCCAAAACGAGGATGGAGTGTCAATCCTCTTCTATCTACAAAAGATTTTCCCAGGTTTGTAATATATATAATCAGATCAGGTGCTTAGTGCTTGGATGTGTATATATAAATCATTGACTGGTGTTGACCTACAGATGAGTGGAACAACTTTCTTGAGAGAATGGGTTGTGAAAATGAACATGACCTAAAAGGAAACAACGAGTTAGAGGATCAACTACGTCTCTGGGCTTCATACAGAGGTCAAACCTTGACCAAGACCGGTAAGTTTGACCTAATAAGTTTACTACTACACTTGCCAGTAATCTAATTCTCCATAATGTATGACAGTTAGGGGAATGATGTATTATCGTAAAGCCTTGGAGCTTCAGGCTTTCCTTGATATGGCTAAAGATGATGGTATGTATGCTATTTTGATTTTCAACCATGAAAAATGCAAAAAAGTTTTTAACATTTAGATATTCATTTTGGTGTTGATGTTGTTTGATATTTCAGATCTGATGGAAGGGTACAAGGCAATTGAATTGAATGAAGATCAGATGAAGGGAGAAAGGTCACTGTGGGCCCAGTGCCAAGCTGTAGCTGATATGAAGTTTACATATGTGGTGTCATGCCAACAATATGGTATTCAAAAGCGATCTGGGGATGCTCGTGCACAGAATGTCCTGAGGCTCATGACAGAGTATCCATCTCTGCGTGTAGCATATATTGATGAGGTTGAGGAGCCGAGTAAAGACACAACTAAGAAAATAAACAACAAGGTTTATTACTCTGCTTTAGTCAAAGCCATGCCAAATTCTAATGCTTCCGAAACAGGCCAAAACTTGGATCAGGTAAAAAAACACCAACACTTTTGCTGTTCATTTTTCATTTTTTATTTTTGAAAAATTAATAGAAGTGATCTGAATGTGCAGGTTATTTATAGGATAAAATTGCCTGGACCTGCAATATTGGGAGAAGGAAAGCCTGAGAATCAGAATCATGCTATCATCTTCACACGTGGGGAGGGCTTGCAGACGATTGACATGAACCAGGTATGCATGCGATATGCCACTACCATCAAACTTTTACTTTATTTTCTATATATATATATATGAATATAAATAAAAGAATCTTTCTTTTGTAGGACAATTACATGGAAGAGGCCTTAAAAATGAGGAACTTGCTCCAAGAGTTTTTGAAAAAACATGACGATGTGAGGAACCCAACAATATTGGGACTGAGGGAGCATATTTTCACTGGCAGTGTTTCTTCTCTTGCATGGTTCATGTCTAATCAGGAAACAAGTTTTGTGACAATTGGTCAGAGATTGTTAGCCAACCCTTTGAAGTAAGTTCTAAACCCTCAAACCCTAAATAAAACCCTCATTTTGATTTTCATGCACCTAGGCTAATTTTACACTTTGACTCCTCCCTTCAGGGTTCGTTTTCACTATGGTCATCCAGATGTTTTTGATAGACTCTTTCACCTTACAAGAGGAGGTGTCAGCAAAGCCTCCAAGATCATAAACCTAAGCGAGGACATTTTTGCTGGTATTTTCAAACTCAACATTATCTCTTCTTATCTATATCATACGCCAAACCTGTTTTTCTTAAACTCACCTCATTTCTCTTTCTTTCTTTTGTATATACAGGTTTCAATTCTACACTTCGTGAAGGAAATGTGACACATCATGAATACATACAAGTTGGTAAAGGAAGAGATGTGGGTCTAAATCAAATCTCTCTATTCGAGGCCAAAATTGCCAACGGAAACGGGGAACAAACACTTAGCCGTGACCTATATCGACTCGGACACCGATTCGACTTTTTCAGAATGTTATCATGTTACTTCACCACAATCGGTTTCTACTTTAGTACCTTGGTAATCAAAATTTCTCATTTCATATTTTATATTTTACATTTCTTTGAAGCTAAAAAATTCATCCACACTTTCCTGTTTGCTTTCAGATAACCGTATTGACTGTCTACGTGTTCCTTTACGGGCGTCTGTATATGGTTCTTAGTGGGCTAGAGAAAGGTCTTGCTTCCCAACCTGCCCTTCGCCACAATAAACCACTTCAAGTGGCTCTTGCTTCACAATCCTTTGTGCAAATCGGATTCCTAATGGCCTTACCTATGATGATGGAAATTGGTCTAGAAAGAGGTTTCCGGACTGCATTAAGTGAATTCATTCTCATGCAACTACAACTCGCCCCTGTTTTCTTCACCTTCTCACTCGGAACAAAAACTCACTACTATGGTAGAACACTGCTTCATGGAGGTGCAAAGTACAGAGCAACAGGGCGTGGGTTTGTTGTCTTTCATGCGAAATTTGCTGAAAACTATCGGCTTTATTCGCGTAGTCATTTCGTGAAAGGAATCGAGCTTATGATCTTGCTTCTTGTTTACCAAATATTTGGTGAGTCGTATAGAGGAGCTGTTGCTTATCTGTTGATCACCATTTCAATATGGTTCATGGTTGGGACTTGGCTGTTTGCTCCGTTTCTGTTCAATCCCTCGGGTTTTGAGTGGCAGAAGATTGTTGATGATTGGTCGGATTGGAATAAGTGGATTAGCAACCAGGGTGGAATCGGAGTCCCCCCTGAGAAGAGTTGGGAATCATGGTGGGAGGAAGAACAGGAACACTTGAGATATTCTGGAAAACGTGGTGTCATAGTTGAGATACTGTTGGCATTACGGTTTTTCATTTATCAGTATGGGCTTGTTTATCATTTGAGTATGACAAAGCATCAGAAGAGTGTCCTGGTTTATGGCATATCATGGGTCGTCATTTTTGCAATTTTGCTGGTTGTAAAGGTATGAAAAAAATGATATAATATAATATAGTTTTGGATGTGGGTGTTTTAGGTATCTGAGAATGAATATTTGAATGTGGATTACAGGCTATTTCGTTTGGGCGGATGAAATTCAGTGCAAAATTCCAACTTGTTTTCCGGCTGATCAAAGGGGCGATCTTCATTATGTTTGTGTCGATTCTTGTGATCCTGATTGCACTTCCTCATATGACACTGCAAGACATTGTTGTGTGCATTCTTGCCTTTATGCCTACTGGATGGGGACTACTACTGGTCAGTAAAGACACTTGAATTATCTCGTTTTTCATTTAATTATATATGAACAAGATGATGATGATGATGATGAAATGCGTTTGTTGATTTTGATGGCAGATTGCACAGGCGTGTAAACCGGTGGTGAAGACAGCTGGATTCTGGGGATCAGTGAAGACACTTGCACGTGGATATGAGATAGTGATGGGTCTGCTTCTGTTCACACCGGTTGCATTTCTTGCATGGTTTCCTTTTGTTTCAGAGTTCCAGACACGTATGCTCTTCAATCAAGCCTTCAGTAGAGGTCTGCAGATATCTCGTATTCTTGGTGGCCATAGGAAAGATCGATCAGCTAGGAACAAAGAGTAGTAGTAACCTACAAATGCAACAACATCATGAGGTCTCTTTGTGCTGCTGTTTTTTTTTTTTTTTTTTTTTTTTTTGGGTAGGTAGCTAAGCTAGTTCTTTGTAATTGTGCATTCAGCATTGAACAACTGTTAATTCTGTCATCACGTGGAGAATTTTTGAGTTGTTAATGTATCAATTTTAATTTAAAAATGCATGTTGAGTTTTCGTATTTTCATGAATGCTACTCGTCATATTTGCAAGAACATAGATTTGCTCTTAAAGGAAAGAGCTCTATGTATGATGTAGAGAATGTGGGACCTTTATAAGGTTGCACACAAATATTATCAGGGTTATTCTGTTGACTTTTTTGTTTTGAGAGTCCTTGCATAATCCATTATAATGTAATTACATTAAATATACTTTCCTCAATTTTGTAATAATGAAAGACAAACTACAAAGAAGTAGTGGATATGGAACAAACTACAAAGACTCGAGATCCAAGAAGCAAGAATTTGTAATTGTGAAATAACCTTTAAATTGAGTTTAAAGTTTTCTTAGAAAACTATGAGTGATAATTTGGGTGGTTATGTGATATTTTATTTCAGGTAGTTTGAAATTTTGTAAGAAAACTAAGAGTTTTAATAAGTAGGAAATCAAGATGGTGATTGGTGATTGGTTGGATTAATGGAAGACGTAAATGGAAATAAGTCACAGTAGCAATTCTCTTCTTTTCAATCATGTTTAAAACAAATAAATTTTCTTATAAAATCTTAAAACAAAAATTAATTAAATATGAGTAAGTGTTCCAAATTATTATCCAAAAGATATATTCTGTTCAAAATATTAATAAAGAACAAAATTATTGATAATAATCAAATAAATTCTATCAAATAATTTATTGATGACATGGAACAAAATTTAAATGATTGTACAATACCAAAAACTAATATAGATACAATATACAAAGAAGGAACCTTTGATTACTTTTAAAGTTACTCTATCAAAATGACTGAACAAATTCTGTCTATCGTTTAAAATTAACAAAATTTAAATCATGAGTAAATTACAAGAATCGTCCATCGTGCAGGTGTCAAACTGTACATTTAGTTCATATTTTTCAAAAATTAACTCAAATCATCCCTTGTATCGTAAAAATATGCATGTTTACCAGACTTAAAATATCTATTTTACCCTTATCTATTTATTGTTGATTTATTTTGAATTGTTTATTTATTAATCATAATAAGTTATAACCCGTGTACTACATGAAACAACTTAAGATAGTATGAATAATAACATTATACTTTAAACGTACAATGATATAATGAGGAAACTTTTATCTTTCATTTACGCAAACTGCAAAGACCGAAACCGATGACGATTGTTTGGTTATTTTTCATACAAGCTAAGAAATTATTTTAGCATTTGATCATAGAAGCGCTACTTTTAATTTGGAAATTTAATAAAAAAAACGCTAGTGGTAAATCTTTGTTTTCAAAAGCAAAAAGATAACGGGATCTTAGCCATCAAAAAAAGGTAAATCTTGGAGTATCCATACAAAGAATAAAATACATAAAATTTTATTTTGATGAATACCTTTAATGTAAGATATTTTGTTTCAATGTTATTTAAGATTGCAAGATTCTCAAAATGGTGTGTAATCTAAACACTGTGTGAGTGTATACCGTGTGTGTAAATATGATTCTCAAAATACATCATCGAGAATTATTGCATGTATTTTTAAAGAAAATGATGATTGACAACCATTAAAAAAGATTATAATCATGATAAGAAAACAGAAGATTTTCAAAAGTAGAAAATTCTATCTTGGCCAATTATGCATATGTCACAATTTCAAGATTCAAATCATGACAAAAAGACAAAAAGATAGCCAAAAAAAGGAAATTTCTATGTCGGCCAATTATAACAAAAGAAAATTATTCAAGAAAAGATTGAAATTATTCAAGAATGAAGACCCGCTAAACATCTGATTATTAATATCAAGATTATAATCTTCTATAAATTGAGCTGAAGTTATAAACATTCGAAAAAAATTATATTTCTTTTGAATATATAGTTTATGTATAAGAAACCCTCTACAGATTTCTTTATCTACTTTGCGTTGCTCAAAATCTCTAGATTTTCAAATCATTATTTCTCCAAATGCTTAGGTTCTTTATCTACTTTGCGTTGTTCAAAATCTCTATATTTTCAAATCAGCACTTCTCCAAATACTTTTATTGTTCAAAATCTCAATATTTTCAAATCATCATTTCTCCAAATACTTTTATCGACTGTTCTTCAATTCAAGTTTAATAAAAAAAGATACTCTTTAAGTACTTTATTCAATTCGTTATGTTACTATTTTCTTGAATTTATTTCTCCTATAAATTTGTTTATAACCATGTTCCGCATTATGCACATAGCCTGGACAATAAAGTTATGCTATTGCATTTGTAGTTGTGTTTTGTTTGATTAATTGTATTTAGATAATATAAACATCGTATGGGATTTGAAAACAGAAGTACTTACAAGACAAAATGAATCAACTAATTTACAAGTTTAAAATTTAGTTGTAAATAGAACATTAAAATGGGATTTTCATCAAAAATTAACAAAGTAACAATCATCTTCAAATCGTATGTTCCATCCCATCTTTTTAAAATGCTTCTCAAACTCTCAATCATCCTTAGAGGGTCATGTCCTAGCTGTTGTGGAAATCGCTGTAGAAATATCAAAATCTTCAATGCACGACTCAGGCCAATAACCACGTTTGAAAATGCACGTCTTAATTCACAAAAATGGTCCATGTGGTCAATATCAAAATCTTCACTGCTCTTCAGATGTGTCAGCTTCTCATATGAACTCAGAAGCTATGTTGTTGATTTCAACAACTGATCTGAACAAAACAACAGAGACAAAAGTAAAACAGTTTACCAAACAGGCTTTCTTTTTCTATTGTCTCTGTTGTCTTTGGGGGCTGCCATTGCCAAGTATCTTGAATTGCTAATCTCCCAAGGTATCACAGCCCCAGAAGCTTTCAGGATTCCAATCAACTCGGGAAACAGCTTCTTATTCTCCTCATTAACAAACACAATCGAATTACCTTCCACTCCCATTCTTGATGCCCTACCAATCTGATGAACATACTCCTTAATGGAATTCGGCATATCAAACACAATCACCTGTCTCACATGCAAAAGATCAATCCCTCTCCCCAATATTCCAGTTGCCACAATAACCTCAACCTCCCCTAATAAAAAAGAATTCAAAATTTCTCTCCTTTCTTTCATGCTCTTCTCTCCATGAATAGCCAAAGCTTTTAACCCTGTGGCGACACTTATACCCTCAGAAAGAAGATCCGCACCAAGCCTTGAACCCACAAACACTATCACAGGTGGCTTAAAATGCTGTGAGCTGGAAAATATATCAAAAAGCTTTTGCTTCTTTCTTTTCGACTCAACCCATATAGCCACCTGTTTCACAGCTTGATTTGGTTTGTTTAGCTTTCCAACAGTGATCACATTCATCTCTTTTGCTAATGATCTTCCCATCTTCTCCACTTCAACTGGAACAGTTGCAGAGTATAGTAACACTTGAGGTTGAGATAGAGCCCTGTAAATCTGCATCACCTGTTCACGGAAACCTCTTTGGAGCATGCAGTCAACTTCATCTATAACTAAAATTGATACAGTGTCGAGTTCAATGTCATATTTGGTTAAAAGATCAATAAGCCTGCCAGGTGTCCCAACAATCATTTCTACTCCACCCTGTATACGATGGATCTGTTTAGGCATTGCATCACCACCTACCACTAATGCTGTTTTAAAAGGCAAACCTTTTCCGAGTATCTTAGCTTGTTCTTCAACCTGTATGGAAAGCTCCCTAGTTGGTGTCAACACCATCACTAATGGTTTTTTCTCTTCTTTTCTGAAATTTGCACAGAAAGAGATTGTGGGAATCAAATAAGATGCGGTTTTTCCTGAACCAGTCTCGGCTGACACAAGCAGGCTTTGACCCTTTAAGGCAGCAGGAATTGCTTGCATTTGAACAGGTGTTGGGATTTCATACCCTGCAGATTCGATGTTTTGCAGGAGCTTCTGAGGAAGGTTACAGTGAGAAAAAGACAACACTGGAGGTGGAACACATGTACCCTTTACAATAATCTCAAATTTGAGTCTAATCGATTCCATTTGGTTGGGGGTTAATGAGTGGGAATCTGGTTTACCTTTTTCATTACCATCTCTAACATAAAAGCATTCATCGCTAATGGGTAATCTTATGGGAGGAAGCTTGAGACTAGTAGGCAACTTGGGTTCTTTGATTTTAAGCAAGAGCTTCTGCTTACATTCAAGGCTGCAGATATCATCATCAGTTTCATCACATATGTATTCCCCATATCGTCCGCATTCTATGCATTGAGGTTCTCCTGGTAAAGCTTCTCTTTGTTGAGCACTATATTTCTTCACATCATCAGCTGCAGGAGACACTAAGAAAGAAACCAGAATAAACGAGTTTGCCAGAAAATGTTGGAGAACAAAGAATAAGGTATACAGTGGTTAACAACTTTGAAATTTGATATGCAATTTTAGGTATAATTGAGGTGATGAATGCATTGAAACTTCGATAAGCTTCACCAATCAGAGAATGTTGGTCCATGTTTTGATAAAATCAAAATCAACTGTGAATTTGGAACTTGGGAGTTGGGAGTTAAGGATTTACATGAAAAATCGAAGTTCAACATAATTATTAATTTATTAGACATTAGGAAATATTGCTTGGACATCTAGTTGTCTGGATTTGGGGACTCAATAGTAGATTCTGTAGACTTCGCGAGTTATAATATGATGTTAATACTTTGATCAACGAACAACATGCAATCTGAAGACGATGAACAATACTGAAAAAACAGCGAGTTCAATGAGAATGGGTAAAAGCCCATACCTGAAGTTTCTACAGAATCTTGTACTGTTAGCATTCTTTGATCATCGTTTCCGCTCTTCATGACAATAATTCCGAAGCAATTAAGAGCCAACTACTAGGAATATCCGTAATTAAAAGGGGCAATTAGGTCATAACTGTCGTAAGCAAATTCAGCAACCAATGATTGAGATCCTCTAGCAAACGGGGATAGAGAACACCGGATATTTCCAAAGTATTGAAATGAGATCGAAATCCAGGAAGAACAACGCTGGCAATAGAACAAATTTAAGATGTTTATGAACCCTAAAAAATTGAACTTGCAAATCATGATTTTGGGGAGGAAACCTATGGACAATTTACTACTCTTTACACCAATTAACATTGATGCTCCCTCATCTTTTAGAAGTTGTTATATATAGCCTCTCAACTGTACTTCTCTTCAAATAAGTCCAATCTTTGGTTCTAAAAAATTCACCATGACATATGATCTTGGAATGTAATTTAGAGATCTCTCACTAGGGATGTTATTCGGGTCGGAACCGAACCGAACCGACCCGAATCCGAATAAACCGAAAACCGAAAACCGATTAAAGGTAATTATATGAATCGAAAACCGAACCAAATAAGCAATACGGGTTCGGTTTTGATATTATTCGGTTCGGTTCGATTCGGTTCGGTTCCGGTCCGAATAACCCAAATAACATGTACAAAATGATTAAAGGAGCCGAATAACCCAAATAACATTTACAAATAACATAATAATGTGATTATAAATATTGTATTTTATATGACTTTTGTAGTTTATGATAAACACGAATAATACGGATTAACTATTCTTGATATATAAAATGTAAAATCCAACCACCACAATCTTAAGATATAGTTATAAGCAACATATTAAACACTAAACACTAGACATCCAAAACACCCAAAAATCTATCTGTAAGTATATAAGTTAAACATTAAACATTATGTGGGTATTTTGGGTAACGATTGATAAAACACAAGACCGAATAAGCAATCGTGCAAGGGGAAAAAATGTGATTTTTCATATTCGGTTCGGTCCTTTTGGACCGAATAAGCCCTTATTTGGGTAACCTGGACCGAATAACCCGAAAACCGAATAAGCCTTATATAGATACCAAAAAATCGAATCGAATTGCTTATTCGGGTCTAATTCGATTCGGTTCGGTTTTCGATTCGGTTCAAGTTTTCGGGCCAAATTCTCATCCATATCTCCCAGTGTTGGAACTCATTCACACATGGTTCTGAGTTAGAAAAGAATACAATAAATAACAAATCTTTTTTAGGCCTATTTTCCTGCAAATCCTTATTAGGAGAAAATATCATTATTTCACTTTTTTTTTCTTTTCTTTTAAATTCCTTCCAAAAAATTATTTTTGAAACAATATAAGTCTATACGGAATGTCTTCACATCCATACACGTATGGTGACATGGCTTGAAAAGTCATGGTGACTTTTTGTCAACCACAACCCCTTAGACTAAGAGGAGTAGGGGTCGTCATCATACTCACTAACCTCGCTAGCAATGTTAAACACGAATCCTAAAAGCTTGTTAGATGACTCGTTATTTTCAATTCGTTAACCCATTTGCGAGTGGAGAGAGAAAGAAAAGTCTCCATCCCATTGGTTCTCAATTTTCATGCTCATGTGTATGACAACAAGCCATTTCCTATTCTAAAACTTCATTTCCAAATAAATGATTCCTACCCTCACTACAAATTTGTTTACAAATATAGTCTCAACTCAAAACTTTGATTTCAATAAAATTGTTTTAACCCTCATTTGATAATTCCCTACAAATTTGGTCCCAAGCATCAAACATTGATTTAAAAGAACTAAAAGGACCAACACTTAAATATTATATTTATTTTCATGTAATTTATTTATATTATATTAAAGTAAATTTTGATTAATATTTATGCATAAAATATGTTTGTGTAGTAAAATAAAATAATTTAATTAAATTAGAAAAAAAGAAAATAAAAAAAGTAGAGTGTTAGGAGTGTTATCACTCCTTAACAAATGATAAGATTAAGTGTTAAATGAAGAAAAATGAGATGACATTCAAAAATCTGATGTAACAAGGTGCTAGGAGTGTTACCACTCCCTTTAACCGTATGTGTGTAATGGTGATGTCTCATGAAGGAGGTGTGCCTACACTCAAAAAATCCACATCTTCATCTACACACCTTCGCCATCACAACTCAACGTTTAAAATCGAATGAGAAGAAGAGAATCCTTGAGAGTTGTGATCGAAAACACACAAACACACACACACATTCACCTATAAATCGACCCATCTATAGATCTTTAACTTGTTTACATAAATTGATTAATTGAGCCATCTGATATTCAATCGGAAATATGGAAAAATCTTCCGATTTAAAACCCTCGTCCCAGGTGGGGTTTGGTGATTTCTAGGTGGAGATGAAAGTGGTTACAAGTGGTGGTGACGGACAATGGTGGCAGTCGGAAAAGTCTTAGAGCAGATCTAGAAAACCATGATGTGTGTTTTTCCTGAGTATCTATGTTCATAAATATATGTGTGTTTTGAAGAAGATTTTTCCAAAATAAATCCATAAAATTTGATGTGTATGTATGTTCTTGACTGTGTATTTGTGTTCAACTGTTCATGAGATTTTCTTGAGTTCTTGAAAGACAAACCCAAATGATATATATATATATATATATATATATATATATATATATATATATATAGAGAGAGAGAGAGAGAGAGAGAGAGAGAGAAAGAAAGAAAGACAAACCCAGAAGATACGTTTGATCAACTTCTTTTGCTGCAGAAGGTTATAAAAGTGGTTCGCAGACTTCATAAAATTTTACTTCGAAAAACAAACAACACTTAATGAAGCTCTTAATGAAGCTGAGGTGGCGCTCAAATGACACACTTTTTGAATAAATACATTATAGACCACTCCTTGTAGCCTAACCTTTCTTTTCTTTATTTTTCCTTTGATTCATTAACATTGTTACCTCTATATCACTAACATATAAACCTTTATAAATCATAAATCTCTTTCATCATTCATAAACTTTTTATAGATTTATAAAGTGACTACATATATTTATCACATACTTAACATAAATTTTTATATAAAACATAATGCAAAATCAAAACACCTGTATAACATTTATCTTCAAAAAATATTTAACATCGGTTTTATTTTGAACGTATCAATTAATTCTATTGTATGGTATAGTTTATTAAAAATAATATGCACTTTTTATTATCTATTTGTTAAAAAAATACCAAAACTATGATGAAATCTTGACAAATTTAAAATGAAATACAAAACGAAAAATTTAGATTGGTACTTTCTTTATGTTCGGTAATCCATTGTTGGTAATTCTAGAGTTCTTGCTACATTTTACATTACAAAAGTTGTTTCTTCTTAATCACCGATTAACACTCACCCTTTAAATCGTAAGACATGTTTGGTAATGGAATCCGACGAACAACTAAGAGGGTGTTTGAGAGGTTTATTTAAAATAATAAGAACTTTTTAACTTATAGTGGCACCAAATTGGAGTTTTAAAAAGAGTGTTTAGGAGCTTTTGATAAGTTAGTAAGGAATAACTTATTAAAAAATGACTTATCTAGGGTGTGCAACCACTATAAGTTATTTTTGAAAAAGTCCTTATTCATTGGGCCATTTTGATTTAATATAAAATGCTTTAATTTGTTTATTTTTTATAACTGATAACTCAAGAGCTTGCCATACTTTGATAGAATGTTTAACAAATATGTAGGCAATCAAAGTTGAAGGAATTAAAACGAGCAAAAATAGGCTAACAAGCATAAGGGATGAATTACGCAGAGTTAAGAAGAAAAATATTGTTGGGAAATTTGACTACTATTCAATGTTTTGATCATATCTCAAGCCATGTTTATCCTATTGATTTGAATCAATATGTTTTGGAAACTAGACAAATTTACTTACGAATTTTGTGGTTTGTATTTCAGCTAGTTGTGCGGCTTCCATAACCAAGATTGGCTTGGAAGACTAATCAACATCTAAGACGCCTTCTAGGATGCCCCAACGTCCCATACACTCTAAAAATGTTAGAATAGCTTGTATGACGCCCCAACGTCTTAGTTTGGCATTTACGACGTCAACAAGGAAAAAAAGCTCCAAAGGGTAACAGAGGCCCCATATGTCATGGTGGATGATGTCTCGAGCCTATTAAGATTAAACAGTGAAGACTAGACTACTAGGGGATGTATTTAGGAGAACAACAATAGCAAAATTTTGATAACAACACCCACTTTGATGAAGCTTCCCCTTGTCTTTTATTCTTGAGGTTTGTTCTTGGATTTTGTAGAAATACCAATATACTTATGTTGTTATCACTACTAGAAAAATAACCTTTGACGACGCTCATTGCGCGTCGTAAAACGCTCAGACGACGCACAAATGTGCGTCAAGAAAGACCTTGTCATAACGAGAGATGACGCGCATTTACGACGTGCATTTATGACACGCAATGCGTATCATTAAAGCCGCTATCAAGAAAGGCCATGTCATAAATGAATATGACACACATTTTTGCGTATCGTAATTTTAATTTTTTTTAAAATAAATGATTTATAGATTTACTAATTTTCAAATTAAATTTACATTTCATGTCTTATAATAGAAAATAAAATATCATATACAAAAAGTACAATCCATTGCACAAAAGTTAATGTCATACAAATAATCATTCCAATAGTAGACAAATGTAATACATCAAATGTGAAAGAGATGAAAGTCATCAACAAATAATAGTTGAACTAGTTCATTATTGGCCATATAGGTTAACTGCAATCTCCAATCCTTCTAGCAGACCCTAGAGATCATTATTGGTCATGTCGTAGGATCAACCTGCCAAAATAATACACCAAATTAATCAGAAGCTGAGATGCTACCTACAGGACAGTCGAAAAACACATTATAAGCATAACAATCAGTCCATGGACTTACTGTGGATCAATAATTGCTTCAATTTGCATATGTTAAGAAGACACAACTAAAGGTAGAATAATAATAAAAAATAATATCTTACTCATTAAAATAACACACAAACATTTATCTGTATATTTCTCTTTTCCTCATTTAGATTCTGAAAACTGTAGGGACTGTCTATAATCACTTGTTGCTATTATAGTTCATAGAACACGGTAATATATGAGAAAGTACATTTTAAATATCATAACCACTGGAAAAATAAAAACAACTACCTCACCTGTCACAAAAATAACCAAAAGAACAACAAAGGTGATGCTTCCCTCCATCATACCATCCTTCTTCAATACCCTACACACGGAAACCTCAATCCTTTTAAGAAAACTGGAACAAATAGGAGTCATAATATGCTCACAAACTCCTGAACGACT